CGACATTCAAGCATTGAGTGTGCATCAAACGATCACCAAGGCACGATAGCAATCAATGGTGGTAACGAAGGGGGTAGCATATAGGCAAACTAGTTGAGGTTAAGAATTTGTCCATCAATATAATTAAAATGAAGTCATGGGAAGCTTAGCAAACTTTTCCTTGAATTATTCTTTGAAAGAACATAAATCATCCTCAATAAACATGTAAGAAAAATGCTACATAAAATCTTAAATATTATATTTTTCAATTTTTTTTTTTGTTTTTTGTTCGTTATGAATAAAACATATATTTAATGAATATTTATAGTAGAGAAAAACACTAATAAATTTCTTAAACTTTCTTAAAAACTACTCACACTAATAAATTTGTTTCAGAATTTGATAACTACTAACTATTCTTAAAGAAACTTCGTCTTTAACCAAATTTATTGGCTCACCAAGTAAAAAAAAAATAGTCATAAATCCATTTAAAAAAAATAGTAATCGTAAAAAATACATTCAAATAATCACAAATCCGTTGCTTTTTTTCTTAAAAAAAGTATTGTTATATTTAAAACAAAACTAATTGTTGTATTCTATGAATGTGATTTTTTTTTTAATAAGAAAAGGAAGAGATTTAATAAATAAATAAATAAATAAAATATGCTATATTTAAGAGTAAAATATATAAGAACAGTTAAAAAGATAGAACGTTAAATTTTAAATATTAAAACCATTTGGTAGGTTGAACTAAAATCAAAATATAAATTTATTTTCAACCTTGGTAATAAAATTAATTTATGAGGGTGAAAATGGAAAGGTAAAAGTTTTTCTATTCTAACAAAATTAATTTTTCAAAATAATTAAATTAAAACATATTATGAAAATTAATATAAATCAGCATACTTTTTTTCTTTTAATTAAAAGAAAAAAGAAAACGAAAAAGAAAGCAAAACTGAGCCCACATCTTAAAGACCTAAATTTGCTCCCCGCCACTTCTTCTTCTTCACTGCGTCTCCTCCTCCGTTTCAGCAGCTCAGTGTCGCCGACATCTCTCTACCGTTCACTTCTGCCACGGGCGTTGTCTTTCTTCCGCTCGTGCCGCTGCAGCTGCCCTCCTAGAAGTTTTGACACTGATATTCTACCCCCTTGTTATACTGGTATCTCCCAATCTCCATCTATGCTTTTCATCTCATTTGAAAACACATAAATTCCAACTTGTCTTATGAAGCAATGGAGGAATTGTTTAATTCTGCTTTTTTTTTTTTTTTTTTTTTTTTTT